CTGGGTCCCACCGGCTGGCCTGTGGAGGCCCCAGGGGCAAGGCAGCAGGGCAGGGAGCCCAAGCCTGCAGTGCGCAGCCTGTCCCTGCTGCCACAGGCTTTGTTCTGGCTGTGCCACCTGCAGGGGAGGGGCAACCTGGCTGTGCACTCTGCCGTGCTGCAGCAGCCACCCCCTCCTGTGGGCAGCAGCTTAGTCCCTGCCTCTGTAGCCCTGACAGCTGGGAGACCCCTCCAGTAGAGCTGAGGTGTGGGGGGTGGGGGCAAGGGGCACCAGCAGGGTGGAGGGGCTGTGGGTGGGGAGTGAGGGGCCTGGGCCTGCATCATGTGAGCGAAGGGGACGGGGAGCTCTGATTTTTCCATGATAAAAATCCCAAAATCAAATTCCAAAATTTATAGGTATTTAGAATTTATTTTATTATAGTGATTGAGGCACTGGTAGGCTTCCAAATTGCTTTAAAATTGTAAATATAATCAATAAAACATTGTGTTCAATTGATACCTATATATAGTGACATTTCATTTTAATCATGGATTCTGGGATTTTTTATCAGAGAATTTGCTAATATATGTTTTATCAGAGAATTTGTGATTTTTGAATGGAGAAAACCAGGATCCCTGCTGAGTTTGGGAGGGAAGATACTTGCCCAACAGTAGAGCCACACAAATTTGAACGCTCAGACAAATTTGGAACTTGACTATTGGGCTTTGCCCAATTGAAGCTGGACCTGATTGGCTGATTTGGCCCTCAGAACGTAATATATTTTTAAAAAAATTGTACGATATGTAAGTGGGTACAAAAGTGCTACTTAAAAGTATGTTTATAGAGTACCTGTGCTAAAACTTGCAGCAGTTTTGGAAAAGGTATAATGCACATCAATTCTGGATGAACTAAGTCTGCAGATAACATATGAAGATTATTATGGGTTTGTAAAATCACTGTTTTCAAATTTGTTCGTTACATTCTGTGCTCAGGGAGAGCAGGTTCTGAGAATAAGGAGAGGGAGAAGGAACTGCAGGGTGAAGAAGTTAGGGTGGGGAGGGGAAGAGGACAAAAAACCTGGCCCCCGATGGTGAAGGGTTTTGTGGAAGTTGAGGGGGATGAAGAGCAGGAATGGCTGTGTGTGTTGTGTTAAAAATAAGGATCAGGAAAAAAAAACATTTCCCTTATATAAGATAAGTATTATTGCAGAGTTTTTGAGTACATTAAACATGTGCCTTTGGTTTACAATGAACTGACTTTATTGCCATCTGAGACTCGGAGTTCCTTCCATTCTACCTCCTCATGTGTCTACAGATATCTCCTTTGCTCACTGTCTGTTACTCATAAGGTCTATAATTTTGCATGGCTCATAAGAGGAAAAAAAAAAGGAAATCTCTCTAATGTGGGTAAATACAATGTGAGAACACCTTGAGGCACAGCTGATGCATGCTGGAGATTTTATTCATAGGGGTACCTTTTTCTGTGTTGTGCTTTGGGAGTGTCACATTATTAATAGCCATTGTGAATGCCATCTCCAGATCACTTGTGATAACTACCGTGCCTAAGTTGGATAAGAGGCATTTGCTTATATAGCCACTTTACTAAGGCTATGTTTTGGTCAGCTGACAAATAGCCCTACCTTATTTAATCAATTTGACAGGCATTTTCTTGTCATTCTGGAGCTCTGATTGCCACCATTTTTTGACATTGGTTGATGGAAACTTCAGTCCAGATATCAGAGGTCTCTGGATTATTTTTGCTTTGAAAAATTAATGAGCGTATGAGCTTAAACTGGGTGATTGAAGTTGGTTTTCTCCCCAGCTGGTGTAAGATTTTTCTGTTTGAACTGTTTTACAGCATTCGGCTGAAGAGTCTCAATGCAAACACAGACATTGCCTCCCTGGCTCGTAAGGTGGTTGAGGAATGTAAGCTCATTCACCCCTCCAGACTAGCCGAGGTAGAACAACTTCTGTACTATCTGCAGAACCGCAGAGATGCCTCATCAGGGAAAGGTAAGTGGTACAGGGATTAGGGTAAAATGTGGAGCTAGTGTATAGTGGTGCTGGTGATATTTTGTATTTTGGGTTTTCTAGTTCAGAAACTCCTTTGCTTGCTATGGGGACATTTGAAGGGTGAAGAGGACAGGAGTAGGGAGGGGTGTTTATAATGTACATGAAAAAATGACAGAAACTTGTGGGAAAAGAGCAGCCATTTTGATGATCCAAGTACATTTTTCTTTTCATTAGTCAAACTTAATATTGGTGCTTCTCTTTTGCTTTGTCTCTTTCAATTAAAATCTTCTGTTCTAAATTCTGCAGTAACTGTTTTAGATGGTGCCAGACAGGTGACTTAAAGGAATTCTGTCCATTAGACTCTAATATCTTCTCTTTTCCTTTATAGCTGGTTGATAGGATAGATTGTTTCAGATGAGATGCATGAAAGCAATAGTTCTGTGCAGAGCTTTTTGTAATACTGAGAACCCTTAATCCATCTAGTAAAAGAGAGGTATTATTTCACATTAGCTTTATTTAAGACTCTGCTTAACATTCTGTTTAACACTATTCAGCCATGAGCCACATGGAAATTTGGTAATGTTAATTAGCCTTTTCAGCTTATGTGCTCAGTAAGACTTGAGCAAAGAGAAAATTCCTGGATCAGCTTCCAGGCAAGTCCGGGTTCTCTTTTAAAACTGCTAAGGTGGTGGCCTCTAACACTGGGTTCACAAGCATCATGTTGCCATTGAGACCCTATGAGGTTGCTTGCAGCCACAGAAAATTACAAGGTTAGAACAGAAGTTGACAGGGAGAGAAAAGATGGTCACTGCCTGCAGTCTGTTATTGGCTTGTTATTGTTGCTTGCAGGCCAGTGAAGATTGAGGACCACTGTGTTTAGCCTTTTGAAAACCTTTATGCTGACAAACCCATGATTTGGGGGAGGGAGTGTAAATGCCTATAACCTGAACAATTCCTCTCTGAATTGTATAGATATACTGTTAGGGTTTTATTTAACTGTATTTTCTTCTGTATTCTAAACTAGATGCTTTCTGTAGTGCTTTGCATAGTTCTTTCTGGAAAAATACAAGTATTGAGCTTGTGCCAGTTTACTTGCATTTTTTCCTATGAAGCGTAAGGAAGGTCTGACATGAAATTGCATCTTTCTCCTTGTTCTGTATATTAGAAATTTAGCTTTTGCCTCCCTGTTACTTCCAGATCTGTGGGTGGAGAAGTAGTATTTTTGTGATTCAGACATGCAAATGAGGTGAGACCTGATTGAGAGAGGAATTGATTTCTATTCAGATGATTTCAAAATGGTTTTTTCTTTCTTTGTGGTGTCAAGCCGTATGTAACTCATATGTCTAGCAAACAAGAAGAAAAGTTTTCTTTGATAAATATCCAATGCTTCATATTTTCAACTAACTGTTGAGAGAATGCCCAGTCCTTTTCTCTGGGTCTTCTGACATAGTGCTCCAATGAGAACAACCACTCAAAATTACAGATGTTTCTGAACTAGAAATAAAAGATCAACTCCTTGAAACAAGAAAACTGACCATTCAGGATCTTTTATTTTAAAGAAAACCAAAACAGTAAGAAGTCCAGTATTATACACTTTTCAGGTCATATTTATTGCATTGCTTTTTTTTGTAGTTTTCAGAACTTGCCTATAGCTGTTTCCTACTGTAGCAAAATTTCAAGCAAAAGGTGGGGTTTAAAAAGTGCTTTCCTTGTCCCAAGGATGTCTGTTTTGAACCAGCATGTTACATGTTTGGGTGCAGTTGGGTCAGTCCATTGAAGTGGTTATTCAGCTTTTATACCCTGAGCTTGATGAGAACAAAGTGCTAAACTCAAGCCTTTTGCCACAGGAAATCAGAACTTCTGATTATTATATTAATAACCAATGTTTCTTATCGGTGACTGAAAAACCTGGACTGACATCCCCCTTACTGCATGACAGTCCTAAGTCTCCCTTTTACTGTCATACTCCACGGGTAATAGCTATGGGCTCAGTTCAGCCAGTTACTTAAGCAGGGGTATTAAGCCTCGATGAAATTATAAGGAGTTCAGTATCTTGGTGAATCAAGGTTTATTTTACAAATTCCTGATTAGCCAAGTAACCTAATCAAAGCAGTCATTTCCTACCCCTACATAAAATTTAAGTTTCAAATCTCTTGCTGACCTTCTTCACAAGTGAACATTATACAAGGGGTTGAGTCCTGTTTCACACCGAGGCTACCTATGATCTTGTGATATTGTAGTATAGACTATATTCCAAAGTGCACACACATGTGGAACTTGCCTCTCAAATTTCTGACTCTTGCAGTGTTAAAATAGTAGACTTTTAGAGATGCATTAAAAGTTTTAGTTTTGAAAAAGTTATATGCAACACCTTAACACCAATGTAACTTAGATTAATTTTGTACACCAGTATAAGTTTCACTAGTGTGTAGAATGGACAGGTGACCAGATCTCCTGAGGTTGCTGCCTTAGTAGGTGCCAGTTTAGGACCTTGCCGCTGTGAGTGGAACCAGTAGCTACCCAGGGATAGAAGTGGACACGACACCTGCAGTGGTGGTGTAACTTTAGACCAGTGTAGTTTTACTCCTGATTTTTTTTCTTGTGTACCTCTACACTGGATTCTGGTAAGTGACATTCATGTAGATCTATAAATTGTCTGTTCCCTTTTTACACCAGTATATTAGTGAGTTACACCAGTGTCCTGGCCTTGAAAATAAAAATGTCACAGCAGAATTTTCTTCTTCATTCTTCTTCTTCATGGCTACAGAATTGAGCTAAAACAAAGCTTGAACTTTTAGACTTGTAGCTCTCTGGGGCAAGAAACCTCTTTTTGTTCTGGGTTGGGAGTCCTATCACAGAATCTCCTTGATGCTACCATAGTACAAATTATTATAATATTTAGCATGCTATTGCCTATGAATATTTACAATGTTAATTATAACCATGCCTTTTCTCACTGCAGAAAAGAAAGAGAAATCCAATAAACCAAAAGATCCACCCCCCTTTGAAGGAATGGAGGTAGGAATTGGGCGTAGAATTTAAGAGATTTCAAGTATAGACACCTTTACCCTGATGAAAGTATTTTTTATTTAAAAAGGACAATAAAAATGGATGCAATAAGATGAGTAAGATATCGAAGAAGTGTTGTTTTTCTTTTTTCTTTTTTTTAACCAAAGAGCTTGTTTTAAAAACTCTATAACAATAGAGTGTTAAACATCTCCTTGAAGGCTAAAGTATTTAAGTTGTACGCCTGACTGTAAGTGTAGCATCCTGCAGTATAAATAGGCGAAGGGTCTGGAATATAAGGTTGGAAGCCCCAAGCCACTTCTAAGCACCTCTTGTGTTTTGTGATTTTATATTTTCTGTTTTCCTGCCTGTCAGTTGCAATGATTCAGTTCATATTTTTTTACATCCTAACGCATAGTTAGTTATGAAGTTTTTTCTGCTTTGTGTGCAAAGTAACCCAACTCAGTATGAAGCTGAAGTGGTTCCTTCTGTGTGTTAAAGTCCAAATATGCCTGTGCTTTCAGATCGATGAAGTAGCTAATATTAATGACATGGATGAATACATCGAGTTACTGTATGAGGATATTCCTGACAAGGTGCGCGGCTCTGCCCTTATCCTACAGCTGGCCCGGAACCCTGATAACCTGGAAGAATTGCTCCTCAACGGTAACTTCCAAATCTTCTCAAAGTTGCACTGTTCTTTTACATCTCTGTACAGTTCTTTCTTCTTTTGGGAAACATGTATACCATGTGGTCCTTTATTAGGTTTGTACTCTAATGTTAGTTTGTTTCAAAGTAAAATAAAGCCAGCTGTCACAGAGCTGGTAGAGCTTTCTCTGAAGAATTCTGACCAGGCTGCTGCATATTTCCCACTATGCTGGTCCCATGCTGAATCTCTGTCATCTTAGATGCTGCCCACTGGTTTCAGCTCTGGTTCCTCAAATATACTTCCATGGCACATGCACTGTCTGCTACTTCTCTGTGAAAATTAGTCTTTGGCCCATCTTTCTCAGGCCTCCTTGTTCTGACCCCTGTCTTTTCAGTGTCCCCCCTAGAATCTCCATACTTTCCCAAAGTTCCTGTCTTGTGCATACTCTGAGTTTACCGTGCATCTCTTCAGGGACACACATTTGCAAGGGTTTAAAAAAAAAACCTCTATTATTCTTACTTCATCTAGGATGTGTGGCATACTGATTTAGACAAAATAATAAATGCTTTCACATATTCCCCTGTTTTCGTTGCCTTTATCAGTCTTTGGGCATAGGTGAGAATTCTTTAAGGAGTCTAGATACCTTTTGTACTCTCTTCAGCATCCAGTTTCCTTCTTCATGCACTCTCTCTCATTAAAAATGACCTCGTGAAAAACCCTCTTATAACCTGCAAGCCTTTTTGGCAGTTGACTTCTGATCAGGAGAGGGAAGGGAAGGAAAACAAAGAGAAAAAGAGAGCTTGAAATAGGGTGATGTACATTGTTTGAGGTTACTGAACATGCAGAAAATTGTGGTGTGACAGAAGGCCTGAGACCCTGAGAGGTTAGGAGACAGTGGGAGAACACAGCCATAAAGGTGGTAAATTTGTCAGAGTTACCTTAGAGCTTTGACAGACTCAGCCTCTGTCCTTTTTCACCCCTTCTCTGGATTTGTGACTTTTAAAACCAATTGAAATGAAACACTATAGTATTTTAACATAATCCATAGAGAGACAGAGGCTCTATGAAGAATGTGACATGTTAGTTTGGCAGAGGGCTCTGAAAAATCTTACTACAATAAATAGGCAGGATATAATGAATGGTGTGCATTAAGCCCTTTATGATTTAAGCTGGTGTGAGAGAGAGAGTGAGAAATCGGTTATAAATATTATTTTAATCATGTTTAACTTTAGAAACTGCACTGGGTGCATTGGCAAGAGTGTTGAGAGAAGACTGGAAACAAAGTGTGGAACTTGCTACTAACATAATTTATATTTTCTTCTGCTTTTCAAGGTAAGTGAAAGTCATTGTGCACAAATGAGCAGCATCCTCTTACCAGTTGCCTTGCATTTTCTATTTTCTGTTCTAGTGCTCTTCTGAAATATATATTGAAACACTTTTACTGAAAACCATCAAGGTGCGGAAACTGAGGCACTGATGGTAAACTCACAGTTACACAGTTTTCAGCTGAGCCAGGAATAGCCCTTGTTTTTTAGTTGTATTTCTGTACTCTGTCCATTAAACTGTGCTGCCTCTTTTATAATCTCCCAAGTACATTCACCGGCTGAAGAAAACAATATTCAAAACGCAGGCAGTTGATTGAAATCTATTAGTGTAGATAACAGTAAAATATCACTATATCTAGACCTACTGATGGAAGGGGAGATGTCAGGTAAGTGGATGGTGACTGATTTATTTGTGTAGAGTCTTTGAACCATTTTATAACGTGACAGTTTAGAGCTGGTTAGAAAATGGACTTTCCATTCGAAAGGAAGCTACAGCAGTTTCAGAATATTTTTGTTTCAGTTCTGAAACAAAAAACATTGACACTTCCTATGAAATGAAAATCCTGGAAAAAAATCTATTTGGGACCATTTTGTCAAGTCAGTGTTGAAATGAAATATTCTTATACATTTTAATTCATTTTGCTTAGACTATTAATATAATTAATTGTCAAAATGAATTGAAGTGGAAGGGTCATGTTAAAATGAAATGTTTCTACTTAAAATAAAAATTGACTTCTCTCACTCAACAGAAACACATTCCTATGAAACGTTTTCATTTCAGTGAAATGGCATTTGCTGACAAAAGATTTCCATTGAATTGTTTTTGACCAGCTCTAATAAAAACATTTCATATTGTTCAGCATTGCAAGATCTTAATGTTTCAGTTGAAAGTACTTTTTTATTATATATCTTTTTTTCTCTTGTGCAGTTCTTACATGTATATGTATTTTTATATCTAGTTTTTCTCAGTTTCATGGGCTAATCACGCACTACAAAATTGGAGCTCTGTGTATGAATATAATAGATCATGAGCTGAAGAGACATGAGCTCTGGCAGGAGGAACTCGCCAAAAAGAAGAAAGCTGATATCCTTTTAGTGTATCTGGAAAACTTTACAGCTTTTGCCTGGTCTTTAGTACTGTTATTAGTTGAAGTGAGAGCTATATGCAGCAACTCATGTCAATGCAACAGATTGTAAAAATGTGAGTAACATCTTACTTACAGGATGAAAACAGATGAAAACAAAAAGTGAGAGAAATGGGCAGGGAAGTGCTTTGTTGAATGGTTTCAAGTTAAATTTTTATTTGTGATGTCTTGCAGGAAGTATTTTATTACTAATAGAATACCTTTCACCAGGTTTTTCTAAATGTCTTTGGAGTGTGGGCCACATTTTATTAAGAAGATAAGCAATGCCGTACCTGGTGAGACAACAGTTCTATTTAACCCAGTATCCTGTTTCTGTCAGTGTCAGAGAGAAGATGCTAAGGGAAAGATAGAAGGTAGGGAAGAGTGGCACCTTAGGGCACCTATACACATGCCCAACACCTGCTCTAGCACATTTGAATACGTTCTAATTGGAACATTCCAGGAGCCTTGGCGTCATGTGCATTCAGTGTCTCTGTGTTTCAAAATGGCAGTGGGGGCACTTTAAGTAAAGTTCATCAAAAGAATTTTAGTTAAAGCACCCCCACCACTATTTTGAAGCGCGGGATGCTGAATACACACAAGACACTGCGGGAGTTTTAATTAGAGCAGCTCCAGAGACCCACTCTAATTAAAATGCTGTTCCTTCCTCTCCCCCGCTGCCCTGGAGCACTTGTAAAGACACCCTTAGAGACTAACTGGCTCAGAGGCATGAGTTTCTGTAGGCAACAGCCTATAGAGTATTTATGTAGGTCTTATGCAGTGATCTGTCCAGTGACCCAGTTCCCCCACATCTTCCATGGATGACTTCACCATTTATTATCATACAGATAGTACCAGTATAATTTCCCACTAGTGATCAAAATATAGAGTATTGATTTCTCTGTGTCCTTTGTATTACAGTCATCCTTAACTCTAGCTATTTACTTGATGACGATCCTGAGAATCAAACCCTGAAAAAGGAGTATGACAAAACCTATAAAAAATACCAAGGGCTGGTTGTCAAACAGGAGCAATTACTGCGAGGTAGGCTCTCCTAAAAGATAAACAATAAGCAGGAGAATACCTGACCTGTGGGTAAGGGGATTGTAGTAAATACTTGTTATAAGATTTAGAGCTAGATTCTGCTGATTAATTTTAACTAATAGGAAGAACTTTTATGAATAATTAGAGAAAAAAAAAAACCCAGTCGACTTAATCTATATTCTGCAGATTTTGCAGTGTGGTAAAGATTGTTTTCAAAGTGATTAGTCAGTCTTCAAGAAAATCCATCAACATGTATGCTCGTGCAGGTGAGCATGTACTGCTGATGGCACTGTTCTTTCCACTGATCAGTGCTTGTGTTTTGCAAGAACCAAGTCATTTAGTGTGTGTTAATTCCAATGAAATCAGTGGAGATGCCAATTGATAGCTGAAATCTATCAATACTAGACATGCTAATTGACTACTTTATTCATTTTCTTAGTACAGAGGCCCAGGATTGAATAAGCCAAGGAGACTGCCTATCCTCCCCTCACCAGCCCCATCATGGGTGAATCCTTTAAATCAGGGCTAAGGATAGTAGAAGGAGCCTGCATTTTACTGTCTACAGTGCATGTGTGTGAATAGTTGCATTTCTAAGGATGTCAGTCCAAGACTACTGATTTTAATTTACTTTTTAAAAAGTGATTTAATATCTTTTGTAATACACTTACTGTTAATACAGTTTGAAAAAACAGTCCTGCAGCACTGAGAGGGAAAGCTTGCTTTGGATACTAAGTCTCTGTCAAAACAGGCAGACTCATGCTGAGGAGTTATACCATGCAGCGGCCAGCAACCATGGCAAGTTTTGGCAGGTGCAACTGCAAAAATATAGCTGGGGTTAAAAGGAAAAGTAAACTAAAATGACACTGCCTGAAGAAAAATCCAAAACATTTTGTATGCATTACTACTGATAGTAGTAAAACCTGGAGAAATTTTGCATTGCATGTGGAAGTACTGCCTAATCAGAATGGTAACATTTTGTACCCACTGGGCATAGGTGTGGCTGATCATCAGTCATGGGGAAAATTTATGAAAAATGTAACTAGTTAAAGTGAAAAGTTAGCAACCTTTAAAATTAACTTAAGTTAAATGTTAAGTATTTCCATTTTCAACTAGTTAAAAGGTAAGTTAAAAAGAGAGTAACTAGTTACAAGTTGTTGATTCATGAGAAATGCATGAAACATAGTGAATTGCCTCTTAGCATCATTTTTCATTTTCAAATGCAATGAGTGGATTTCTTTTCCATAAGCCCACAGAAGCACACTAATTTACCCAGAACTCACCCTGCTTTACCTGAAAACAATGTTATACTTGTCATACAGTTTTCAGAATAACGATTTACCAATACTTATGTAATGTTAAATCCTTCTCACCCTCTCCATGATGAAGTACTTTGTAAAAGTTAATGCATCATATAGGTATACCAGAATAACAGAAAGGAGATATTCATAGCCAGGTGACAAATGAAAGCTGTTTCCACAGAAAACCTCTGTTGTTACAATTTTTATTGCTCAAAAGGTATCAAAAGGGTATGAAATACATCTGAATTAGAAATAGAGTCTGAAAATCAAAATTAGACTGCAATGAGAAAATCAGTCTAAATGAGAAAAAGAATGTTCAGTTGCATAGCAGAAACTATTTAAACATGCTTATTGAACTTCAGCAAAAGCTGCATTTCAAAATTTACATCTGACAAATTTCTTCCTCTGTCTTGGAAAACTAAGCCCCCACTCCTGAACAATCACTCTACATGGGCAGATGAGGGAATGCTTGTTCCCTCTCCTGCAGCCAACTGGCTGCCCTGTTGACTTCTGCAAATGCATAGAAAATGCCCGCATGAATTAAGGAACTCTGGGACTTTTAGTTCTTAAGAGACCATATCTCATAGGAAGGCACACTACTCTGTCTCTCAAACAAGAAGTCCTAGAGTTTAAATAAAGAAATATAATTTCAGGTAAGTCCTAGAGAGTGACTGGAAAAACTCTGGGAAAGCCAGATTTCAGGGGTTTTTTAACTTTTAACTTAACTTTAACTTTTTTTTTTTAAAGTGTAACCTTTTTTTAAAACTAGTTAGAAGTTGACACCTGAAAAATTGAACTAGTTAAAGTTAAAAGTTAACCATTTCTTTAACTTTTTAACTAGTTAATTAACTAGTTAATTCCCATAACTGATGATCATACAAGGTACAAAGCAATAGAGTTAGATCCTTAACTTCAGCTCACCCTTTGTTGTTCTTTGGGTGTGGGGCTTTTTACCCTTTTCCCCTGCTGCTCCTCCCCCAAACAATAAGGTGTAATTAATATACATCCGTCTCTAGTCAACTTCGGCATCAGTTCATCACAATGCTGAAATGTTTGCAGTGCAATCACTACAGAGTAATTGTTCTTTCCTCCCCTCCTGCCCTAAGTTGTTCCTTTGAAATTTGAAAAAAAAAATCACATCAATATGTCTAGTGGTTGTAAGTTTTACAAAAGTAGTTTTTGACCACCTATTTTAATGGAAAATTGCTTTTTTATTTTATTATTTCATAGTTCTTCCCATTAGTTAAAATGATCAAATGGGCCAGCTCAGAACTTTTTTTGCAAATCATATTCTCAACCATTAATGTACTTGTGAATCGATGCAGTTCCACTGCTCTTTAACCTGTTGATATAATTTTATGTTGATGCGTTAGTTGCTCTCTATCTGCTGCTGAACCTTGCTGAGGACACACGCACTGAGCTGAAGATGAGGAACAAGAATATTGTCCATATGCTAGTGAAAGCACTGGATCGAGATAATTTTGAGCTGCTTATTTTGGTTGTGTCTTTCTTGAAGAAACTCAGCATTTTTATGGAGAACAAAAATGACATGGTATGTCTCATAGTAATCCACTGGAATATGTTGGTTTCTTCACACAAGGGTCCTAGAAATGTCAATGCAAGTGAAATAGAGGTGAAGTAACTATTTAAAAAACAAAATCCAAACCACAGCAGGAATATACAACAAAACATGTATGCAACAAAATATACAATAAAACATTCTATATGTATTAACATGTAGAACCACAGAGTAAGATGTCCTCAACAGAGCAAAATTACCTGTAAATACAATGAAAGGAAGAACTGTAATGATTCTTTCAACTTTCCAAGCACTCTTGTTTGGCACTGGCGAGGCCTCACCTGGAGTACTGTGTCCAGTTTTGGGCCCCACACTTCAAGAAAGATATGCAGAGACACACAAGGAAAGTCTGAAAGGATTAGGATTATTTAATCTGGAGAAGAGAAAACAGAGGGTGGATTTGATAACAATCTTTAAATATCTGGAGGGTGATTATAAAGAAGATGGCGAAAGACTCTTTTTTATGGCTTGTAGGGGACAAGACTAGGAGCAATGGCCACAAACTGCTGCGGAGAAAATTTAGGTTGAAGATTAAGAAGAACTTTCTGACTATGTATATGGTTAAGAATTGGAACAGGCTAGGTTTGGCAGTCACTTGACTGGGATGGTTTATGCCAGGCATACTCTCTTCTTGAGCAAAGGGATTCACTAGGTGACCTCATGAGGTCCCTTCTAGCCCTGTGATCCTATGAGCTTACATGTGTCCTTTCCCAGAAGCAGAGAGATTTCCATTTGACAACTTGTTTCAGGGAATGGGAATCTGGTGATCCTTTGGCAGGCAGATAACCCAGCTGACTACTGTCCCAAGCAGCATAGGCTTCAAAGCAGCCCTTTTTGCATATTCCTGTAAGATGTAGTCTAGTACTGTTTCATGCAGCTTCCACTGACTCCCAGGTATTTGAGACAAAGAAAATCTCCATAAACCCTTAGGGGTAGTGGGTGAGAAGTCTCAAGTCCCTAGAAAAAACAAGATTTGTCTTGCTGTGTGCTCTTTTTGAGCCAAATGTGTCCACACTCTCATTTGCTTAATCCTTTTGTGGCATCAGAGAAGCTATTTAAATTTTCTGTAGCTTTGTTCACCAGTCTGTTTTTAATGGAGAAAATAATCCTTTATCTGTCAAGGGGGTAGCATGAGACATAATGATGAAGTTTGAAATCTAAGATTGAAAAAGTTCACAAAGATGTAGTAACATATCAGTTTAGAACTATACATAGTTGCTTCTTCGTGACTGGTCCACAGTCTTACTTTTGTTTGTAATGCCAATAAATACACAAATTACTAGAATATTTTTCCTGTTGTATGAGTGCATTCTGTTTAATAACAGAAGTAAGACACTGAGCAGTGTATTCTGAGGAATTTGTCATATTTCTAAGGTGTATGGTATTTGGTTCAATCTATAATCATACGCTGTTCTGGATCACTTTTATCAGAAAAATAAGGATTTGGTTGGGCACACTTTCCACATTCCATTTGATTTATTGGAGAGGCAAATTAAACAAATTGAGTTTATTTTATTTCGGTGTGTCTGAGCCACCAGAAAGAGATTTTTTTTTACAAAGGATTGTAAAATTTAGTTTGGCTGTCATCTCAAATGTTTTTATATGATAGTACAGATGGTGTTTTAGATGACAAAAGTAAACGTGTTTAGGAAGCTACTGATGAAAGAAACAGGGTTCTGACAGTTGTCTAAAATAACCTCTGGGAGCAAAACCAAGTAAATATTTAGTTGCTTAGGGCCCTATTCCATTTTGTTTATTTAGGCAAAGCTTATAATGGTACAGTTTAACTTGGGTGTTCATCCCACAGCCCATGAGCCAGATCCAGCCCCCTGTTATCCAGCCCAGGGGGTTCCACGCAGAGTCTCACTGGTTGTGGTCCTGCATTCTAGATTGGTCACGCAGGGCTGTGTGGAGCCTGATCTTGGCACATGGGGCTGGATTAAGGTGGCACAGGGTCCTAGCCCTAGTATGCACGGTGTTGTTGGGGTGACACGGGGCCCCAATCCCAGGTTCTTAGCTGAGGCTGGATAGGGTCCAATCTGAGCACGCAGCCTACAGACCAGCCCCACACTAGTCATCTGGTTGGCAGGGCCAAAAAATCAAGCACTTCTGATTTAACTGATCTGTTTATGTATTTATGCCATATCCAGCATCTTGACATCTGTGTCATAATTTCTAGCTAGTTTTATAGCAGTGAGGTTGACTGATTTGGGACCAGGGGTTATGTGCCAATTCTTTGAATAACGTTAATTCTGAAGTTCCACAATGTGGAGCTTTACAGTGTTTTGTCATCTTTACTATTTGAGTTCATTCTCTTCGTACTTGCTTTGAAAGGCTGGCTATTCACACAGACCTAACCTATACTTGAAGAGCCTGAAGGCTCTCAGACTTCTTTTCATAAACTTTTTATGGCTAAAGAAGAACTCCTGAAGGCAAATTCATGCAAAGGATTATAAGTAAAGGCAGAGAGATTTTGCTTAAAAGGTGTTAGAGAAAATTTCTGAAGCCTTGCCAGTCAATGATTAGATGTTCTGGCTGACTCAAAGTATGATCTCCACAAAAAAAAATATAGAACTGCTCAGTCCTTGGATTGCATTTTATAATTTTACAGCGATACACATTTCTTTCCTCTGTTAAATTCAAATGCAGAGAAAATAGCCATTACTGAGAGCATAAAGAAAATCCTGTCCAGGGACTTGCTGGAAAGTCAGGGAAAGGTCTCAAATACCCTCTGTATGTTTCTTGTCCTATTTTGGTACCTACCGTTCTTCTAATGTAGATTGCTATGAGATTGTCTGTATTTCACTTAAAACCTTTGATCTTGTAAGTCACTCTTCAGGCAGAACCCTTCTTTAAGCCCCACTTCAATTTTTACTCTCCTGCTTCCATCTACTCAGTTCTTCAGAGGCAGCCAAACTTAAATTCATACTTTCTTTAGACAAAGCCAGTTTTTGTTGAAAGGAAAATTTAGCTACAAATCTGAAATGTTTGGGAAGTGTAGCTGCTTAGAATGGAAACATATTGACACCAATAACTCTAGACATTGCTTTCATTTAAAAATATACCTTAAAAAAAAGCAAAGAAAAGCTGAGTTTGGACTGATGTATTGAGGTGGTAATTTCTCATGCTTTTCACACAGGTTGAAATGGATATTGTAGAAAAACTGGTGAAAATGGTGCCATGTGAACATGAAGACCTGCTGAATATCACCCTCCGGCTTTTGCTAAACCTGTCATTCGACACTGGCTTGAGGAATAAGATGGTACAAGTGGGGCTACTTCCGAAACTCACTGCACTCCTGGGTAATGTTCCCCTTTACACCACTGCAAGCCTTTCAGTTGTTTTAATGTGGTTGTTGAGCCTTTGCCATCACTTTCCCAGGGAAAGATAAAGTGTTGGCTATTCCCAAAGAAGCAGTTGTTAGATTTGTCTTTTATCACAAAATCTTTGCTTGCTGCAGGAAATCTTCAACTATTGCTATGCCTCAATCTTTTTGAGTGAAGATTGTTTCATAGATTTCACAGACATTAGGGCTGGAAGGGACCTCGGAAGATCTTTGAGTCCAGCCCCCTGCTCCAGGGGTAGAAACTCAGCAGGGGTCATAGGATCCCAACAAGATAAGCATCCAAATGCCTCTTAAAGGTGTTCAGAGTAGGTGCTTGAACCACTTCTGGCGGCAGCCTATTCCAAACCTTGGGGGCTCGGACAGTAAAGAAGTTCTTCCTTATGTCCAGCCTGAAACTGTCATAGAGGAGTTTGTGACCATCCGATTTTGTCGTCCCTTGGGGCACTCTGGTGAACAGACGTTCCTCCAGATCCTGGTAATTACCCCTAACAAACTTATAGGTGACCACCAGATCACCCCTGAGCCTGCACTTTTCCAGGCTAAAGAGTCCCATAGCTCTCAGCCTCGCATCATAAGGTCTGTTTTCCTGACTTCTGATCATGTGTGTAGCTCTCCTCTGGACTCGCTCAAGCTTCTCCACGTCCTTTTTGAACTGTGGAGCCCAAAACTGGATGCAGTACAGTAATCTTTAGCTTATTGAGAAGGTTGTAGCAATTTGGTTCCAATCTAATCGTTTTCTAGGTTCTCTTGGACTCTAGTTAATTTGATTTTATGTCTTGGTGTAATATGGAAGGTGTACTGATAGGAGGTCATCAATCAAGTATTGATGATCAAAAACGAGGTAGCTGTACTGTATCTCTTGAATCTATCAGATGTTTTTTAGTAGCACTTTCTTTGCTTCTGATTTGCCTGTGGATCTCAGAACCGTAGACTGAGTTGTTTTTGAATGATTCTGGGGGTTTTTTTCCTTTTAAGTGATACCACAAGATAATACTGGCAATGATGTCATTGTTCTGATAGTTACCTCATGCAGTGATGCAAGTTTTAAATTTGTGGCTGTAGAGGATGCACGGATTGTTATATTGTTAGTGCCCTGAACAGCTCCTTCAGTCAATACTGCTTATGTAGTTACAACTTTCTGGTGCCTTAACAAAGGTACATGGAAGAGGATTGATAGCCTGAGGATCAGCTGAGACGATGCTTGGATAATGTGTGTGTAATACAGTACAGAAATCCCAGATTTGGCCAGCTCCATACATGTCCCTTGTCAGTAGATACACCTACCTTCTATTGCTAAGGCCTGTAGCAGATATGCCTAAAATATCCCAGAATGTTCCCATCTGTTGATTTATCAACTGACCTTTCACTGGCTCCAGGGATTGCATGAGAACTTGAACCAACTCCATGATCCCTGGAGTCAGCCAGTAATCAGCTGATTGTCAGGTACTTTGCCAGTGCAGGGGGCACCTGGGAACATGATCCTGGGCTCCCCTTGCACTGGCAAGTATGGTGCGATTGGGATCTGATCCCCGATCGCAAAATCAAGTCTTCTGCCTTGTACATCTGGCATTGGTAGGAGGTGTAATTGTTGGGATCACAGATTAGATCCCATGGCATCTTCAAAAGAATCTTTGTCCGACACCTAACCCTTGCAACTTGGGGTCTTCTTGGATACTAAGCATCAGTGGTTGCCAAGAATGTATTGTATTGTTCACTTTTGAGATGGTTATGCCCATTTGGCTGGGATTATCTAGTTATCTAGCAGGGGATGGTCCTGCTTTGAGCAGGGGGTTGGACTAGATGAACTCCTGAGGTCCCTTCCAACCCTAACTTTCTGTGATTTATTTTGGTAAGGCTAAACAAGACCGCTTACAGAAAACCACATAACTTAGATCGGTTCTACCTCAGGAATGTCTGGACCTCTAGCCATAAATATGAAATAATTTCCTTGCAGCAATGACAGGTTCAAATCTAGGCAGGGCCGGATTTGACTCTCATTCTCAAGATGGGTTGGTTTGCAACCCATACAAGTGAGTTTTTTACAGAACCTTCAAAGGTGATCTTCTGTTATTGGTGCGTAAACTATATGGATTGGTTCGTTTTCTCAGTGTAGAGACTTGTCTGACTGTCATCTTATGAAATTTCCTTTCCAAGCCCTGCCGTGTGTCTTTGGGGTGCTCCTGTCCAGGGGCTGCTACATTGCTTTTGGTGGGAGTTGAGCATCTTGGAAAATCTGGGCCACAATTCATTAAATACTCTGGCAGAAAAAGGGCTCTGTGAAATGCTGTTACTTTTAATTGCTATGTCCACATCAGTTGTTTTATGGGGATGTGGCCCAGAAAATGGAACTTGACATTTGATGGATGAACTTTCAGTCCCAACTGTGTTAGGAACACTTCATTTGTTTTTCTCCACTCTCCCACTTCCTGCCTTACCATTGTGTTTAATATTAGTTGATTTTAAAAATGTATACTGGGAGAGTAGTCATGAGCATAAAATCTAGTCCTGTATACCTTGATCCTGGCAGTGAACAACTTCACTGGCTAAAAATAATTTCTTCTAAACTTTTTTCCACTTCCCACACCCCAGCTGTGTGTGTTTAAATATCACTTTTCTGCAGCCGCAAAACAGAACTAGGAGAGGAAAGTAGGCAGGTTCCATTTAAAGGGTCATGTGACATTTGACAATAAGCCAGGCTGAGGGGTATGATCTGAACAGAAATTGTTTTAAAAAATCTGATTAAAATCCTGTTGTTTCACATGATATGAACTGTAAGCACTTTGGGGCAGGAACTTTTTGTTTGGTGTTAGTGCAGCATCTTATCTGTGATTGGGGCTCCTATGTGCCACCAGAACCACAAATAACTATCATGCTTTAAAGCACAATTGCTCAGCCCCCATGCTGCAGGGAAATTTTTAATATGCCCACTTCTCCCCACTGCCAAGTTACATTAAGCCCTGTGAGGCTGGATTGGGCCTTCTCCCCCAACCCTGCTGGGTTGTTGCCACATGGCCAGATTGGGCCTGGGATATCTTACTGCCCCTGCAGCCAGGCTGGGCTGGGAGAGGTCATTGCTAGATGTCCAGATTTGGTCTGGACCACCCCTCTGCCCCTGTGTGGCCAGATCTGGGCTTGGCCTGCTGGGCCATTGCCTTGTGGCTGTATTGCATTCTCCCTTGCTCCCCCCACACGGCCTGATTGGGGTTGGGCTGCTCCCCCCATGCCGCTTGTGGCCAGATCAAAACTGGAGTAGGCCCAGGCCCTGCCTACCCCATGCACTGCATCAGGCCCACCCACCAAATCCAGCCTGAACACCACCCACTCAGCCTCTTGCGGAGAAAAAGGTTGGACCACTTCTCTCAATTATTCTGCAATATCACAGACTGACCCCAGTATCCTGTTGGAGCATGAAGCCTGCCTATGGGCATCGAGTGTGCATCTTCTTTTCGTCATTTTTTGTGGTGTAGTTATCAAGTTTCTCTTTAACATATTTTTTATATACACTTTGAAACCATTAACTGAAATACTGTCTCTTACTTTATCTGCTCTTCCAGGATTCAGTAGGATTTCTTTGATACAGTAGCTATAGCTCCTAAATGCAATTTGTGAGTAAGAACTCTGTGAAGCCTGTATCTTTAGTGTTAAATACTTGCATGCGAAGTGTCCCTGTTTATCCCAGTTACTTTGCACATTCAACACACATTGCTTATGTCAGAGCACTTTCAGGTGAGCTGCAAATGTAAACCAAAGTGCTAACGTACCTTAGCAGTTGTTGACAAGTTACCAAATAGTTTCTAATGCCATGGGGTCAAACTTGTCAGCTTGGGTTGTTGAACTTTAGCATTTGTGCCTACCATGCCTTTGAGCCTTTAGCACAGGGTTTGAGAGATTAGCACAAATTAAATATAGAAAGTATTTAAGGAAGAAGATGAGATTGTAAATAAATTAAAAACAAGGCTTTTAGATGTTTGGCTGACAAGGGTTAGGTCTCCCAGGGTAGAGAACCAGCACAGTTTGACCTTGTAAAATAGTAGGTCGGTAGGACTCGGTGTTCTCCAGAGCCGTTTAGCAGCTTGAGACCAGGAGTGGAGGGATCTCATTTTAGGTTATGGGAGTTGGGCGATCTACTCATTACCTGCCTGTTACAGCACAGTCCAAAAGCTCCGTCTACACCTGGGATAGCAGCTAGATTAGATATTGATGGAGAAAGGTCATGTTTTCTTTCTCCCCACTCATTTGCCCCAGATCTTCCTAGCTGCTGCTAGGAAGAGGTTGGGAATAGGGAGAAAGTAAAGGAAATCTCGTTCTTACTTATCTTCCATTTATGTTTTCTTCTCATATTTCTCAATGCCTTCTTCCATCTATAGTTCTGCCAACAAACAGCACAGTCAAACTGAATTTGTCTGTTTTTCACTGGCATGTACACATTACAAAGCACAATGGTGAAAGTAATAAGACTCTTTGAACATTTTTACACATGCATGCGCTGCAGCGCCTGACGCTGTGGCGCATGCATTTGTATAAACAGTGAAATGCCCATCAGCACACAGAAAATGGGAGCAGTCTACTTTTGAACTAAAATGCATCAAAAGTGTTTTAGTTCAAAAGCGCACTGGCCGCCATTTTTTGCACATCGGCGCACATTTTGACATTTATACAAATGCATACGATGCAGCGCTGTACACGTCAGCTTGCATGCTTAATCGAGTCTGCTCTGATGTACTGGATTTCTGGCCCATCACAGCATGAAAAGGTATGTGTATAAATACCCTTTCAGCCTTTTCTAGTCACTGGAGTTAATCAGCCCTAATTATGCTAAGAATGTTGAATTCTTTGCTCATCCTCATCGGTTTTCTTGGCAACATTTGGCAAGTCTCTTGCTTTATCCAGCCTTTCCTGAAACTTGCACTGCAAACAAAGAACAAGAAGTCCTGTTTCGTCTCTGTGATGATCAGC